CGGACAATTGAATTTCAGTATGAATACATACTTTAATTGACACTTCTTATTAGAAAAACACATTTATTATGACACTAGAGCATAGAAAACATTTTCATCCGGATTTATGCTATATGGTTTGGTAAGCATCCTTTTTATCTCTCTCCCCATTCCCCTCATATTGGATAACATTTGAATGACCCTTTGTTAAATATCCTATTTATTTTACACTTTCGTTTTTTCTCATTCAGCTTACCAGCGCTGCTGGTGCAGCTGAGGGCTCAAACGAGCCGACCAACCAGCCTGCTCTTGGGGCAGGCGGCAACACCTCAAAGGAAACTATCGTTTCAGACAGTGCTGCGGGCTCGCCTTCACTTCCTCCCACTCCGAGGGAATCGGTAAGCGACTAATATTTTTGGGTTGGTTTTTTTTACATAATCAATCACTCATATGTTGTCCTTATGAAAAACTGAATTACCAAGTATACATATGTGCGTTATACTCCAGATAGTCTCATATTCATAATTACGAAGCGCCAAGCCTTCAGATTCACGTCTTACTTCAGTTTGATTTGGATCATAAGAGCCCTAATTATCTTTAGCAAGAATAACTATTACCTACCTTAGATCTTCATGACATGTTTTCTCATTTCCTCCAGACTTCTCCATTTTCTGTGAATCATTCGTAATAAACTTTGCTCCATCCTCCATTTTTTCGAGCCCTTAGAGCTCGGTTGACTGTACCAGCCTTATGCCATTCAACTGGCAGGTTTAAGAGACAAAGGACGTCAAACTAGATTCATAGGGTAACAATGAAAGACTTTCGTGATGAGAAATCACTGAGAGTTTAGTATATGTTCTGGGCTCGCTTTACGGGGAATCATCTCAATTTGGATTATAAAATCAAATCATTCTAAAACTCCGTCACTCACTCGGATTGTTTTCGACAGGGAAGGAAATCAAGATTTGGCAAACATTGATAAAAGATCTCATTCGTTATCACGGCGTTTTTCTCTTTAAAAGCTAATTAGCTTATAAAGTATAAACGAATGTCGAAAAAAGCTTACATAGACAGATCAAATCTATTATGGTCAGGTCGAAAAAAATAAATTAATCATATCCATTTTGTTCCAACTTAAATGGATTTAAATGGTTTTGACCTCGCGACTGAAACTTAATAATTTGGCGTTCCGTTTAGCCAGCTGCTCTTTTTATATTCAAGAGAGATCTGTAGGCTACTTTTAATGATACGTCTCTAAATGGATTAGGTTTATTTTTTTATACTGCCTTATTTGGAAGCAAACTCTTGTTGCATTTAATTATCTCGATTCGCACACATTTCATTCCCCAGTAGAGTCATTTTTTCTTTGTCTAACTAGATAGATTTGCTCCCATATCTGCATATTTTTTTCTGAATTATTCCTCTCAGGTATAAATTAAATTTAGAATTCAAGTATTTTTGACTGCCTATTTTTTATCTTTCATTCTATAAAATTTACTCTTAGTGCTTTTTAGTTTTAAAATCATTGTGAATTCCTATAATTTGGCCTACTTCATAAACTACTCTGTTACTATCTCTATAAATTTCTATCCATGTCTGGTGTTAAATTATCAGACCTGTTCCCGATCACCACGCTGCTAACAACTATTAACTGACTTTAGAATCACGCTTGTGAACTCGTAATTTATCGAGCTCTTTCTTCTTAGTGTGACTTGCATATACTCTTTTTCATAATCTATTTAGGCACGCATTCCATTGCCTGAACAAAACTTTTCGACTAAAAGCTTTTGTTGCAAGTTATTATGTCTAAGTAAGACTTTTACTTGTCTTATAAAGTATGTTTTCACACTGTTAAAAGCATATTTTGTTAATTAAATTTTTGGACTGCTCTATAGACTTCGTTGTAGGCACTTTCATAATGTGATAATGGTTTTATTCTCTCTTGGTAAAGAAGGAATTTCCTTTTTATCATTAAACATATTTTTTGGATAATTTATTTCACGATTCTGTTAGTACCAATAGGCTCGCTTTACTTCTTTTTGTAAACAACTATGTTTGCCTAGCCTCTATTTTAACTGTTTTATCCCACTTAAACACTGCTTAATGCAGATTATATCGTTTTAGCTATTGACAGAATTATGTCAGAAAGTTATTTTGGGTAGCATGTACATTTTGGCCTGCAGATAAATGGGTATATATAGAGAGACTAAGCATATAGATTCATATCTGTAGCTTAATTTTGGACACTTATTAACTATATGTGGCTTTTGGATAAGTTTACGCATTTATATTACCTTGGAGTGAGGCTTTCAATCTAGCCTAGCCTCATCTTTAAATCTATGTCTGCGCTTTAGCTATTATCTTATCGTTGAATTATTTTATTCACATTGAGGAGGCTTTGATACTGATAGTAAATCTTGAATGTGAACTGTGTTCACCACAGGTGATGGTTCGACTGAAAATTATTATGATTATGCGTTCCTCTAGGTCTTTCTGGCACTATGGCCATGCCACGAAAACAAGCCCAAACAACTTATATACATGTTAGCTTCATTACGATCATACTCTCTATATGTAATGTATAGGAAGGGTCTTATTTGCCTCTAAAGTTACGTTTACCTTGCGATACATTTACATCCTTAGCAGTGTGACGCAGAGGTAACGTGCCGATACTTTATACAGAATCCGGTTTATATTTGTGTTAGGGGAGCTGATGAGGCTTAGGTGAAGTCGAGACTACAGCACACTACTTTGTAAGATAAGGCTAAGGGAACTCTATGGCATTATTAGGCCTTCCTAAATGATTATTGAAAAATTAAGCTATCGCCTCTTAATCTTCTTATACGATGTATGATGGATACAGTTTTCGTGTAATTGTTTATGTGACAATGGATATCATTTTACTAAAACCAGCTTCTCTTGATACCTTGCTATACAGCTTTTAAAACCCCTCTTCCTTGAGGGAGAGTAGCTTTTACCTGATATTTATTTTCTGCGATTATAAGTTACAGAAATTTGCCCGATTGCATAGGTCTTTATGGTCTATAAGTGGCATGCCGAAATTATACGCTACATTATACGGGTTCGATTTCTGTCAGGAGTGCTGACGAGACCTAGTCGAGATCGGAACTGCATCCCATTCTGGATAAAAGTACCTTATGCAAGCACGATTAAATGAAATTTAATTGCATCCTGACGCTTACTAATCTTATTTTGGGAAAATTCTTTATCAATCTTTCATCACCTTAAGTGACCTAGGATGATTAAACCCTTCATTCAAGTTCTGATAACCTCAAAACCTTAATTTGAACAAAAAAGCATAATGATTGAGTCCGAACTTCTATTTTCTTGACAAGATGATCATCAACTCCTGCTTTTCCTTAAACGAATATTGGGCTTCTCGATACTTAGAGTATCTTCCTGTATTAGATCAATTGATTCTTTGATAAGAATTTGCCTTCTTCTTCACAATAGAGGTTGCAATCTCTATTGTAATTTTTCATCTTTTTCATTATTCAAAAGAAATTTGGTTGCTCATGTGTAGAATACTTCAAGATATTTTGTGATTCTAGGCAATTCATTCATTTAGAGAAAGCTCAGATCAAGATACTTATGTCCGTATATCTTCTTTGAAAACACTGAAAGTTGGCCTGGTTCTCTACTTTTATTTGAAAAAGTCTTATAACACAGTAGCTCTCATTTGCATGGAGTTAGATTTAGGCATCTTATCAAACTTCAGCTCTCAATGTATTGAGGACCTGATTGCTGTTCATACGGCTCAATAGGCTATTATGTAATAAGTATTTTGCAGATTTTGAAATGCTATTCAATTTAAGAAAACTTTACGGTCGGTCTATCTTTACTAGAGTTTCGTCAGTCATAATTCTCATGTTTTTCGCACTGACCGGCTCCTAGGACACCACTTGAGTTAAGGATTTATAAATTTGGTTTTTAAATATTTTTACTCTTCATTATATGAGGCATTTATTTTGACGATTTCCAACCACTTTACTAGAGTGACACATTGACCTGATTCTGCTAAATGCTATT